GATCAATATTGAACCAACTGCAAAACAAAAACTCAAAAACCTATTCAACAAAGTGTTATCGAATAATCAAATTCCAAAGTTTTGAAAACAGTCGGCAATTACTTTATTACCCAAAAAGATCATCTGGTTACATGAACTGGCTGATACACGCCCTATCTTTCTTTTAGAAACAAGTAGAAAGATATTTACAAAGATACTAAATAACAGACTATCGATTATTATCTCAAAGCACAATATCCTATCAGAATACAATTTCGTCAGGCTTAAAAACCAAAGCACAATGGAATCAATTTCAATTGCTCTCTCAGAAATTGAGACAGCAAACAACCTCAATAAAGAGATCTGGGTGGCATCATTTGACATATCCAAAGCATTTGACTCAGTAAACCTTTACAGTTTGGAATTAGCAATGAAAAGAATAAAAATTCCAAATCAAACTATCTAGTTAATCCTCGATCTACTCAGAAAAAGGGAACTTAAAATCATCACATATTATAAACTCACAGATCCACTCGAAGTTAACAAGAGAATCGATCAAGGAGAAACTCTCGCACTACTGTTATGGACCATCTTCTATAACTCAATGGTTTGCGCAGTTATCAAAGACCCCACCAACAGATCAACTATCCTAGCATATAAGGATGACATTGTAATCATCAGCAAAAACATATGTACCTTACAGAGTGTCACCAATACTTTTTGTTCTTTTCTAACTTTAAACTCAATCAAATGTAACAAAAGTAAAACAGAACTTATCACGAATCTGAAATTCAAAAATGACCAAAGGAATCAAGCTCTCACAGTTGAAGATATACCAGTTTTACCCAAACCATACAATGAGTCAATTAGATATCTTGAAATCTACTTATCTGGAAAATCCTCATCTATCGCAATAAAAAATTATCTTAAAAAGAAGGTCTCAAACTTTTCTAAAGCAATTGCTAATCAAAAAGGATGGAATGGTCTAATTACAAGACAGGCCTCTCATTGGATAATACCAGTACAAATTGAGTATACCATCCAAGTATCAATTCTTAATGATAATGACACAAAAGCTCTCCAGGCAAAACTCAATATGGCTATCAAAAATAAACTTGGAGTAGAAAAGACAATTTCGAACAAAGTCCTGCATTCACAAGTTGACTTAGACATTATAAAACTTCAGGATAGAATTCACATAACAGCGGTTAAACTCCTAATCACAAAACTAGTCAACAGAAAAACTTGCAACTCTTTTATCAAAGAAATCAGATCCTTACAAGCATCACACGCTATTTGGACATGCCCTATCTGCAATTCATATTATTTCAAGGATTGTTGGTTGACACTCACTACACAGATTGCAAAAAAATATCAAATTAATATTTGCCCCCACCCATGCCCATTCGAGAATCCTGACTACAATTACTCAATAGGATTAGTAACAAGAATTATCAAAGCAAATGCTCTCTCCCTATATTATACGAACATCAGAACCATTAAAGATATTCATATATACAACAGCGACAACAAATTGTCATGGAATGAACTACATACACATAGAGAACATATACAGCCTGGACCAATACCAAACTGGTTCAAGAACATCCCACTAACAAATTACAGGATTCTAGATAGCTCACTTCCAGTACCCAATCAAAAACCCTGCTTCTGAGCTTTTCTCAACAATGGAGTGGTCGATTTAATCAAGGTCAGAGTAAATGCAAGTCGGCAGCAGATAGTTAAAGAACAACACCATCAAATACTACCCAATAAAAAAATTACACAGTGCACGTGCAATTTTCAACCATGCATTATAGAAAAGGGTATTACAAATATTAAATCAACATGGACAACAACACGTAATAACAACCCACTTCTCTTAAACAATGTCAATGAACTCTCGTTCCAACTCTCTTCAATACCACCTCGCCTACCAGCAATTCCTATAACAAACAGTCCCCTCAACTGCTCACTGCCTCCTATAACAACTACCATTTTCTTTCTCAAAGAAAAAATTGTTATTCAAAAATCTAGTGCAAATATACTTTACAACCTAAATAGTAATTCTTGGTTATGTTTTTGACCCATTCTACTAAAAAACATATAGGAAACTCCTACCAATTCCATAATCTGATGCCAATTCCAAATCAAACCAAACTTAAATTTACCCGAATATACTAACTGCCAGGTCAAAATTCCATATAGTAGATATATCAGACTCATTAATTTTGAAACCAAAAACAGAAATATAACACAAATGGATTATCAAAAAAGAACTTAAAAGCCAACCTCCATTTAACATCCAAAACAGTACAACAGTTCTACAAATATTTCCAAAAACACATGACACTCCACCATTAATTAACAACAATTACGCTACTAGCATCACACAGTGGATCAAGTTCATTAATTTCTATACTAATCTCTTTGACATATTATTGAGCCAATCAGCAGTCTATAAGTCCTCCTCGATGACAACACTAGAACTAATCTGCAAAGCCAACAAAAAACTTAAAAAAGATGACAAATTTAAATATAGAAGCCTCACAGCTTTCAGAACCAAATTGATAGCCAACCAACTCCTCACAAGAGTCAAACTTCACAGAAGATACCTTGATGTATATGATAGCAACCTCTGTCCACGGTGCAAAGCATTTCCAGAAGATCAACCACATATCTTCCTGTGTGTTTATGCCCTATCTACTATCAGGAAAAAGAAAGACAAACTTATGGACCTGATAAACAAAAATACTGCTCAAACATCTGACAATAATAAAACACTCCTACCGACCATCATAACAATAACAACACTTGATATAGTTAATCTCGCACTTGGAAACCTTTAACCTCCTCTGGACAAAATATTAAATAACAAGGTTACAATCTCAAACAAAACACTCAAAATTCTATACAAAGTATAGAAGAAACGTTTAGCAACAGTCACCACATCATCAACATCAGAAGTAAAATGGAAAAAACTACAGCCATGAAAACTGATTACAATACCAAAAATGATAGTTCTACATTTCATAAAATACTTAATACTTTAGTATCAAATAATAACTTAACAGATAAAAATATATTTATGCCCACAATTGTATTATCGTTTTGAATAAACATTAGCCATTTAACATTGCTAGTATTGATCCACCTACTTGGTGCAAGTTAAGTGTTAACAGAAAAAGTTGCAATAGGCTAGGATTAAATTACTTTTCTTGTAAAAATCTTTAATGTAATGGCTATAAACTCTCGTTTAATAAAAGTCTCACATTTAATGCTTATTTGTGATTTTTTAAAAAAAAATTTTTTTAATAAATAATTTATTTTATATTATATAGTAATACAAGCTTAAAATTTAAAAATTTTATTGATATATAATTAATAAATAATTTTTTTAATATTATTTTCAATTATTAATTTATATAAGTTTAGTTCTAATTATTTCAGTTGTTTTTTACTTCAATTATAGTTTTAATATTACTGTATATCACTGCATATAATATCCCGGATATTTTACTAGAAGGGGGGTAGTATTAGTAGCAAGGTATATCATTATTATAAAATTCAAAATAATATTGTCTTACTTATTATTATATTAATATACCCAGATAGTAATCAATTATCAAGCAACAATTTTCTTGAATACTATCTGGTATTATTAGTGGAAGGGTAGTATTTGAAGGGGGTATTGTATGCAGTGATATACAGTAGTTATAATTATTTAATTTTTTTCAATTACTTTAAATTAAAAAAATAAAAAAATTTCATAAAATATTCTGAGTTAATAGATATAGCTATTATTTCATTATCTAATATATTAATATTACTTTTGAAATTTTTTTCAATATTAGTTAGATATTGTTAAAGTAAACAAGTTAGCATTTAATTTTTGAAATATTAAAAGAGATATTGTTTTTTTTACAATATATATTTTGTTATATATAGGGCTTCTAACGATACCACTTTAATACTATTTCGATACCAATTCAATACTTAAATTTACTATAAAACATATGAGTAGGTCATAACCCATATATTAAATTTACCATAGATCAGTACCATTTTGATACTAGTTTGATACCAGTTCAGTACTTTTCAAAACCCTAGTTATATACAAATCAAATAAAAAAATGATATTTACCTACTGATAAAACTCTTCCCAAAAATAAACAAAAAAATAATAATTACATATTTAATAATTTTTTTTATAATAAAAAAAAATTATAAATTAGATTTCAACTTTTAAAAAATATATATGTATTTTGATTAATATTCTTTATAAAACTATTTATTTATGATTATTAAATACATACCTCAAAAAAATGTATAGATGTAATTATTAAAATATATATATATATATCTAAATTATACTATAAATCATTATCCATTAAATCAATATGTTGTTTTTAATATTTAATTGGATTTATTGAAAATGCTTTATACGCGTTTGTAGAAATTTTTATTAAAATATTTGTTATATATACTTTTGAAATATAATGTTAAATATTTACATGTATATTTTTTTTTGTTTTTAGAAAAAATCGAATTCCATAAAATCCTAAAGTTAACAATTAAAATTTATTTTATTATAGTATTGGGTATTTAACTATTATTATAACCTAAACAAAAAATTAACAAATTATATATCAAATTATTGTGAATAATCTTTTTCTTTATAATCCTTGCAGATATTATATATATTAAATTATTTAATCGGAAATTACACTTACATGACCTTCCTCATGCTTAAAGCAAGTGACTTGACACCAAAACACAATGTATTTTGCACACCAAACGATGCTAATTTCAAAATTTTTTTCAGAGATTTCAGTAAATAGGTTTTAAATTTATAATCCATAAACCTATATTATCTTCATCATGGGCGGCGTCTTACGTCAACAGTAGTATTACAATAATTAATGACATGCATATTTTTCGAAAAAAAAAAAATTAATGTACTTTTTGATTTTTTTTTTCAAATTTCGACCCATCACCAACGATTTTTTCTCTAAGTAAATTTAATTCCTCTTCCGTCGTTTAAATTCAGTTTCATTATCCGGAGGTTCAGGTAATGGCGGTGGGCGTGATTGTGATGTTGTAGGATTGGCAGTAGCTGGATTATCCGTTTTACTGTATGAGGTGGGGGATGAAGTAGAGGGAGATGAAGGAGGTCTTTGCGGTGGAGGTTGGGATATTGGGTTGGAATTATTGTCCTTGTACCTATTGCCATCCGGATTCAACAAATTACTATCAGAACCAAAACCCAGTGAGGATGGTTGAGAGGATCTTCGATGTTGTGACGAAGACATTGGGATATGAGGCGGAGGATGCGTAGCACGATGTGGACTAGAATGAGTGTATTGAGATGAGGATTGCGTTGTGTGTGAATTCGAAGATGTTATAGAAGTTGGCTTATAAGTGTCCATAGATGAAGACCTTGAAACACTCCCGCTGCTGCCCACGCTTGTCATCGGTTCAGGGGAACGATGCCGCAGGTAATTTGTGCTCGGTTGCATGTGTGGAGAAAACGGAAATTCGGGTAATATCGACAAAGGGCTAGAAGTAGGAATTTTAGCGGGTGATCGATGAAGCGGCTGAGAACCAGAGAACGACGGGGACGCGTTGGAACGATAATCTACATCTTGCATCCGTGCTGTGTGATGCATTGATGATGTCGATTCGACACCGGACATTGGTTGCGGATTTGTCGGAATTGTCCTTGCAGGTTGAATACCCTCTCTGGGATAGTGAGAGGGATGCTGTGACAGAGGCAGATGAGATGGAGTTTGAGAGTCGCCTTGCCCGAATTTTGCCACTTCTGCTTGTATACAATCAACTATCGTAAAAATTAAGATCAATTAACAATCGTTCTACAAAAATAAGAAGAAAACAAACAAAAACACAAACAAACAAACAAGCAGCTCTTGATTAATTATAATTGAATGCGAATGTTTACCATCAAATTTTCGTTTTAGGCTCCGAGGATCATTTGCATCTTCTGTGCAACCATCATAGATTAAGTGAGTGAATAAAACTTCTGAGTGGAAATGGGGAAATGTGCAAATTTACCTTCGCGAAATATGGATGAAAGAAAATTTGCTATATCGGTGATAACCTATAAGTCACGTGAAATATAGATTAATTTCATTGGTGATACAAATTTTGAGAAAGTTAACAAAAGATGCGTACAAATATAAATAAATAAATATATATATATACCTTTTCGTGTTTCGACTGTTGCATTCTACACGAGACAGTCTCTGCGTAGAGCAAACTGTAATTTTCAGTCATCTGACGCATTCTATCCATCAACTCTGCCATTTGATTCGTTAAACTATCTATTCTTTCATCACGCTCAGCAGTAATGTCGGAGGACAAGCTTTGTCCCGGTCCAGAATTTGATAGGCCTCCTTTCATATTTATTTGATTACTGGTAGATTGATGTTTTGAATTTTTGCGCCTGATATTTTGTAAAGCTGAAATATGCCCCCTACGAAACTCCTGATGTCTAAATTCCCACGCCTGACTTTCGCTTGATGGATTTGCGTGAAACATGTCATTAACTTAATTGTGTCCACAAAAAAGAGAATGTTTATATTTACATATTTACAGTTAAGAAACCAATCCTTTTAACATTGGACGATTGTGTGAATCAGAAGAATTTAGTGCATACCTTTATGAAATCCATACACTTTTTTAGAAAACATAAGATGAATGATAAAATGATTAGAGGTTTTGGGATAGTGAGAGAAAAAGTTCACAATCAATCGGGAACTTACTATTTAGTTGTCTCACAAAACTCTGCCAATTATTGTGTTTGAAATACTGTGGCAAGACCGTCTTCGAGAATTCAGTGGGATTCGACACACTGAACACATCACCAGAAGGCGCCCATGATATCAAGTGTTGAATTGATTGATCTTCTACCATACTAGAAATTGGAAAAATAAAATTGAAATTTTTGAAAATCAGGATTGACATATTTATGGAACAATTGGGATAGTCACGACGCGTCTTTTTTTCCGCGTTGCATGATTTGACGAAATAAGGGGTTCTACTAAGGTTAGAGCAAATAACTTTCTTCGGATGAATTGAATAATAAAAATTTGTTCATCAGATGAAATTCTGTGTACAAAGAATTCTAGCGAAAAATGATTTTTATAAGGATAACAGAGAAGAAAGGAAGGCTAACAAAAATAAGAAATGATAATGATAATGATCTTACGTATACAATTTATTTACAAAAGCGGCTTGAGTTTTATGTGTAGCAGGTGTCGTCGCGGCAGTCGTCGCCGCCGTAGTCGTTGTCGTTGTCGTTGTCGTCGTTGTCGCTGTCATCGGCGTCGGATTATTCGTTAAGGTTGACGAAACAGTTGGCAAAGTCGAATTTGATGGTGTAGTGTTTGCTGAACCGGAAGAGGGTTGTTCGTTGAACGGAGAGGTAACCAACGGGGTTGTGGCTGAAGGGGTTGGTGAGGTAGAAGTCGGAAGGGAGGATGTTGAACCAGGCGGTTCAGACTGAGATATGTAAAATTCCCTTGTGCTGTTAATACTCGAATCTCTTTGGGGGTTTTCGACAGTAGCATTTGTGTTGTTGTTATTATTGCTTCCTTCATGTTCCATGATTAGCTATAACGTGAAGAGGACACCGATAAAAGGGTACTAAATAGAGTGACTATTTGGATCTTGTAGAAGCACGAGGAGAGTCGTAAAGAAAGTTCTAGAGTATATATATATGGACGAATAGATTTGAGAAAAGTAAGGGATGAAGAAGACAACACGGTTGAAGAAATTATGTAAGCCAATTTTTTTTGTTTGTTTTTTTATTTTATTTTATTTTTTATTTTTTTTTTTTACCTAGATAAATAGTAGGAGTAGGATTGTTTTTGTTTCCTGATAGCGACTTACTTACAAAAAATTATATAGATGATAGGAGAATGCACGAAGTGTTGTAATGTTCGATTGCCTAAATGGCAAATGAAAATGACTAAGATGAAATAAAGAGAAGTGGAACTTAATAACCAACTCGGAGTCAACCTACTAATTAATGGCTATATGTAATAGCCAGTCGTCGGGACCGCCAATAAGAAGTCCGAAAAGACCCGAGTTAGATGTATCCGTATGACAGAATATAATAAAGAAAGATTCTAGTAACTTGGGAGAATAGAAGGCAGAGAAGATATCTAGAACTTTCATCGAATAACGAATAGCGATAGATTTTACAGAATGATTACATGGATAACAAGATGGGTGAGAATAAACAAAAAGATGGTGCTTACGCAGAGAAATGGAAAGACAGGATAGGAAAAGTGATTTATATGATAAAAATTTTTTGGAATAATCATTGGTTGATTCCAGAAGAAAAGACGTTTCTCAGAAGTGTGAAGAAACCTCGTGGTGTGATACTGGTTTTCGAAGTTCTATAGGCAAGAGAACGTGAAATTTGATATTATTCTTGCGCAATATATTTTTGATTTTATGTTGCACGAGTTTAGCCTGAAGGGTTTCACACAAACATCACTCTAGCTGTGTTGTATATCAAAATGTTTGCAACTTCTAATTGAAGAAAGTTTCACGGTTACGTAAGCTGGAACCCACCGGCGAACATCAATAGCGACGAAAGAAGAACAATGAATAATAATAATAATAATATAATATCTATAATTGCACTATGATTATTATCATTTCAGCTCAATATTTTTAATGCCTAATATAATCAATCCGCAACTCGTTCGTGTGAATTGATTGATTCGTGCTCCATTGCCAAAAACCATTTTCCGCTAATGTTGTTCATTGACAATATTTATAGGCTCCGTCTCATAAATTACCCGATAATTGGTTGATAAAGAAGTTTAATTAGAATTTACCATTCAATGCAGATCTAATTAATGGGTATAGAAGAAGTTGAACCGCATGTATAGAACTTTTAAATAAATTTTTTTTCCGGTTAAACGTGTTTCGTTGGCCAATTGCCGGTGGCTCGGGCTCTTGGATGTATGATAGAAGGTTGAGAGAAAACAAAAATCAGGTCTTGGATGCAAATGGTCGTGGTGCAAACGGAATATTCTAGTAATTTCATTCCCATACACGCATCGGTGACACGATCTATTAACACCTTTTAACATGAATGGCGCATGAATCGCATGATCACTTGATTGCACAGCAGGAATTTATTTTTAATGTAGGTCTACATTATTATTTGTAATAATATTTTGATATTAAATTATTAATATAAAATTCGATTTCTTTTTACAGCATATCGAGTAACCACGAATTGGTATTCTTTACTTTATAATAAGCTATTAATACAAAACATAAACAAATATGTATAACGCCTGTATTTATAGCATATAGTATTATCCATTTTCTAAATAGAAATTTTTTTTTTTTTATAAATAAATATTTCTTATTCAATATTCAATATTCATATAGATGAATTGGGATGTACTGTATTTAATAATAATAAAATTAAATAATTATAATAATAATATTTAATATATCATATACAATATACAGTCAAACGATATTTTTTATAACGATTTCAGGTTATAATGATATAATTTTGTTTATAATACATAGAAAAAGTTAATTTTTTATACCGATAAAACTAGGTTAAAATTCATTTTTTATATTTAATATATAAATTAATTTCTAAACTACAAACAATTATACTATTTATAGATTCTAGATAAAATTAAATTGTACTTACTGTATGCTATCTTGAAAAAATTCGATTGATCACGTGCTATATAAATGACGCGCATCTCTTATTTACGCGTTTTTGGTTTAACTTCAGTGTAGACTTTACAGCTCTTGAAAGATATTTTCCTTTTTACGATAAAATATGACAGATTGCTTTGTCTTGCACGAGGAGCTTTTAAAGCTGCAGGATGCGAACTATTTTTTTCCAAATGAAATATTGGTAGCAGAATTAAGCACTATTGAACTTGACAGGCTATTAAATGGTAAATTCAAACGTTCTATACTTAGAAGGTCTTGACTGAAATATGATTAATCATTAAGTTGTTGCATTCGACTTTGCATAGTTACCTTATAACGCCGAACTTTATACCTTTATTAGATACGACCGATAAGATAACCGAAAATTCCTCGGCCATAACAAATGCAGAATTGTTCGATGTCTTGCGAAGTTTTGTAAAGTAAGTTATTACAATTTGTTCTCGATCGATTATTGAGCTTTCTTTCTTACTACCAACAATTATTAGGAAATACAACTTGTTAGAATCCACGACAATGAATCGAGTACTTGACATCATTATATCTGGTATGCATATTTAGCGCATTTTATTTTTATTTTTTTATAACTATTGAACGGCAAATATAACATAGGCTTTCGAAGTGAATACGAAGCCACATCTAATGATCTGGAAGCCGATGAAGAAGATACTTATGGGGATCATCGAATTGCAATGGAAATGTATGGGTTTTTGTTGGGATGGCTAATATCCAACGCTGAAGATAAGGCGGCGTCTAAAAGTGGAGTTGCATCCGGAGTTGACGGAGCTACTAGTGGAAAGACCAAAGTTCGTTTAGTAGTCAATTACTGTTTAAAGTGTAATGATGTATGCTAATCATTTTTTTCGTTTACATTTATTTCAGCGTTCTAGACAAGCCAAATCAAAGAACGCAACCATCACGACAGTCAATCTTACAGAAGAGTGGGATTGGTCAGCTCAAAAGTTGGCTGCGTTGGATTTAATGCTGGAGGTGTTGGAACTTAGAATAAACAAGATTTGGACGTCAACGCATGAAAGAGATACATTTGTTAGGTATTTACATTTAAATATTGTCTCCTTCAGGTTTACTTTTTGTTAGACATCAATTAATCTTATACTGTCTTCTAGCTTGTTTACCAAATCAGCATACTTGATGCTCGAAAACGTTACAAACACCAAAAATAATGACATTAAGACACGCGTTTTTAAAATCCTTTCAATATGTGTAAAGGATTATAATCATGCGTTCGGTCAGTACATAAGATATTCGGTTCAATTTGTTAACCGTCTTTGTGATATCATTGGTTTTATTATTTAATTTATTTATTTATTGGCAGGGGCGCAAACATCTATTATTCAGGAAGTGCAATATTATGAACATCTTTCTGAGCCTATGGCTGAATTTCTTCACGTCCTTTCTTCGCAATACGATCATACGCAATTAGCAGAGGAAATATTAATGTATAAAATATTCTTATTTGCACGTTTCGGCAATCCAAAGTTGCTTTCATTTATTAAATAATTTAATTTTAGAGAAATAAACAACAAGGAGTTTGGTGATAAAGATGTGATTGGACCAAAAAATTTTTCGAAATTTCTGGTAAAGCTATCAGAATTAGCACCCAAAGTGGTGATCAAGCAAGTTGGACTCTTGGTCGGGCATTTTAACAATGAGGTAAGAGGAAATATGTTATTAGAATTTGCTAATTTTCATTTCTCATGTAAACGTTAAATTAAATGTCTAATATCGTGACTACAGCCTTATACTATGCGATGCGGTTTGATAGAAGTTCTCGGAAACCTAATTATTGATTTGGCAAACCAAGAGGAGCAGGCTACCAACCATATTACTCAAGTGAATGGCTTTTTTGATTTACTAGAAGAGCGATTTCTTGACGTGAACTCATACTGTCGTTCGAAGTTACTACAAGTTTATTTAAAGATATGCGAGTAGGTTATATTCGCGTTTACAGTCTACTTTGTTGATGAATTTCTGTTAATAACAACTATTAATTTTAGTTTAAAAGCAAAATTTCCAAAGCGTCGTCAAAGGCTTACGGACCTAGTTGTTCGAAGTTTGGAGGATAAGGCTAGTCAAGTGCGAAAATATGCAATCAAGTTACTAACGAAATTGATATCGACGCATCCGTATGGTTTAATACATGGAGGAGAATTATCGGCCGGAGAATGGGAGGAACGGTTAAAAAATGTTGAAGAGGAACTAAAGGTAGGGAAATTCTCTTAATTATAAACGGACATCGTATCTAATTTGCACGAATCATTGAAGTCTCGTATGTTCTTGTGATATGAAAGGCGTTACAACCTCCGCAAGAGATCGTTGATATGGGAGCCGGGAGAGAAGCCTCTACTGAGTTAGAGGATCGGAGTGATATACAGGATATGGATATCGACATGTTAGGCGAAGAAGAAGAAGAAGAAGAAACTCCTCAAACTTCGTTACATATGGAACTGACTAGACTTCAGTTCACCCGACGTTATTATACTGATGCCGTTCGTTTTATTCACCAAATACACACTGCTATCCCGACGCTCTGTCAGCTTCTTGTTTCTACAACAAAATCAGAGGTTTTGGAGGCTATTGATTTTTTCGTCACGGCCTACACATATAAGATGGAATTTGCCGGAGAAGGACTAAAGAAAATGTTACACTTGATTTGGACTAAAGATAATAATGATGAAGGAAAGGGCATTCGGAAACGATTGATCGAAAGCTATCGTAAACTGTATTTCGATTTTGATATTTCAATATCCGATAAAGAGAATGTATACATCATAACGAGGAATTTAATAAGGTATTGTTTGAGCAAGTAATAGGCATATCTTTGGAATAAAACTAAACACTGCATAACCATTTCAGCTTGACGTTTAATGCGACTCTAGCCGAATTAACGTCTTTAGAACAACTTCTGAGTACGATCATGAATGAGGGAGATATCAGTGATGAAGTTATCGCGAAGTTGTGGTCGGTTTATTGTAAGTATACGAGAATAACACGCAAGTCGTAATAGTATATTAATTAAGTTATTATTATTTTAATATCTCATATTAGCCGTATCCAAAAAGGAGATTCCGAAAGCTCAACGCCGCGGTGCTATTATTGTTTTAAGCATGCTTGCGAAAGCAAAAATGGAGATTGTCCAGGAAAAGATTGATCTATTGCTAAAAATTGGACTAGGGTCTTTCGGCAAAGTAGGCATCAAAATTGGCTACCATCTATCGTCACCATTCAGCTATTAAATTAATTAATTTTTTTGTAGGCCGATTTTTCTCTTGCTAAATACACTTGCATCGCGTTGCAACGTCTTGGTGGAAGTAAGACTAAAGTAAAAGGTAAATAAGTTGATAACGACATTTTCCGAAAATTTCTCATTGTACGAAATTGTAATTAATTTGAAGTTCATAAGGTTCGTTGACCAATGATTCGATTCGGTTGCCCATGTCCCATCAAATCTTTCATCGATTGAAACAGATGATTGAAATTCAAACAACTTCGCAAGAATGGTGACTGTTCTTTTCCTCTGGATCTTTGATTTTCGATTATTTGAATTTGTTCATTAACTCCTTGTGCTCAGGTTTGCTCTCGCTGAACAAGTTATTAACACCATATATTTGCTTGGCGAACATCCTGACATCTTATGTGCTGATATAATTAAGCGGAAAGCCGCACATGTATTCGACCTGAAAATTCCTGATGACAATGTTATGGAAATAGACGACGAAACAATTAATACGAATCAAGCGCCATTCATGATGCATCCGATTCAATTAAGTCAACTTGTTTTCATAGTTGGGCATGTGGCGATCAAGCATATTGTTCATTTAGAAATTATAGAAGCCGAATGGAAACGACGTAAAGCTGCAGATGAATCTAAAGGTATACAACTCTTGCTGATTTAAAGTGGTGTTGTAACTTTGTTAAAAAATTTTATCTTAAAAAAAAAAAAAGATAAAGAAAAGTCCGCCAAAGGCGATGACGAATTAGAACAAGTAGCGGGAACAACTGAAGACGAACTAGGTGAGGCCATTGCTCAAATTCGCGAAAGGGAATTATTGTTTGGCGAGAATTCGTTGCTGGCAGTCTTCGGTCCATTAATCAGCAATATCTGTGCGAATAACAAGACTTATAATGTATGTTCAATGTGGTATTATCTGCCATTTATATTGTAGTGTATCGTCAAATTTTAAGAGTAAAACTTTGATTCATCTTGAAATTAAGCATCACACATTACAAATATCGGCAACTTTGGCGTTGGCGAAACTCATGTGTGTTAGCTCCGAATTCTGTGAGAACAATCTTCAACTGTTATTTACAATTCTCGAAAGATCGAATGAACCAACCATTCGCAGTAACATCATCATTGCTCTGGGAGATATGACCGTCTGTTTTAACAATATAATCGACGAGAATATCAATTATTTGTATAAACGACTATCCGATTCAGATAGTTTGGTCAAGAAAAATACATTAATGGTATTAACCCATTTGATCTTAAATGGGATGATTAAGGTTAAAGGGCAATTGGGAGAAATGGCCAAATGCTTGGAGGATGAGGATCAGAGAATCAGCGACCTCGCTCGATTATTTTTCACGGAGCTGGCTTCCAAGGATAATGCTGTTTATAATAATTTGCCTGATATCATCAGTAATCTTTCTAGCGGCGATAATCCAGTCAACGAAGATTCTTTCAAGAAAATCATGAAGTTCTTATTTGACTTTATTGAAAAGGTGAAGTTAAATTACTCACGTGAGCAAATTGACAAACCGTATATAGCTAACAGGAAAGTTTCAACAATTAGGACAAACACACTGAAAATGTTGTGGAGAAATTGTGTCTGAGATTCAAGAACCTAGACGATCAAAGACAATGGCGTAATATCGCTTATTGCCTTTCGTTGCTTCCTTACAAAAATGAGAAGATCATTAAAAAGTTAATTGAAGGAATGCCACACTATCAAGACAAATTACACGAGCAAGAAGTTTGCACATTCTTCAACGAAATTATATCCAAGGTTTTCTTTCTTTCTTTGCAAAATGATTACTGCACGTTTGCATATAAATAATTTCTAACGAAGCACATTTATTCAGGCGAAGTCTGTCAAACCCCAAAAGCCCGAGATGAAACAGATAATTGACGAATATGAAGCTAAAATCGAAGAACATAGGGCGCGGGGTCAAGATCACGAAGAAACAATAAAAAAAGCAGCGGCTGCCACACAAAAGGGAAAAAAGAAAAGTAGTTCGACAACACAATAATTTATCTCAATATACATTAGTGGGATCCCAACAGAATCGTTTGGTTCCCAAATTGCTAAGTGAATTCAAGGAATCCATTTCCTACAATTTTAAAATAAATTAAGATAAAATTATGTCAAGTCCTAAAAAGTCGTCAAGAAAAGAAAAGATCATACCTCTTGAGATAATTCAAAATGAAAAATATTTGCATTCTCCTTAATCCTTTCTGGTGTAACAGATTTAGGTATCAAAATAGCATCATGTTGATACCCCCATCTCAATAATACCTGAGCGGGGGTGACCTTGTGAGTTTTGGCAATTTGACTAATCACAGGGATGATTTCTCCGCTGACCAGCTCTCCTTCTCCCAGACTTGAATAAGCTTGTATATGAATGTTGTTCTGTTTACAGAAATCAATAAGGTCTTTTTGGTATAGTAAAGGATGTAATTCAAATTGCATCACAGTCGGCGGCACGGTGCAGTAAGATAATAACTCGGTGAGATGTTTCAGAGTATAGTTGCTGACTCCGATGGCCCGAATTTTTCCCTCTTTGTACAACTCCTCCATAGCTTTCCAACTGCCTTTGCGACTTTCCGCGTTTTGGGGGTCCGTGGGCTGGAATTTTTGAGTGCTGGAATTTTGAAGGAGAATGATGATTGACTTGTAACAAAAATGAAAACATCGAAAAAAAGAAATTACAAAAGTCATACCCAGGCCAGTGTATCAGAAATAGGTCAAGGTAATCCGTGCCAAATCGTTTGATCGAACCCGAGAATGCTTTCACAATACATTGCATTGGGAGGCGATTAATTTTTTGCAAACAATTATGTAAGTAAAAAAATATATATATTTACCTTTGAGGCAATTATCATAACCCTGGTCTTTCGGACCGAGCTTGCTTGTAATGAAGAAATCTTCTCTCGTTAGACCCAAAGAGCTATCTTGAATCAATTCATTTACAGTCTTTCCTATTAAGTCTTCATTTCGGTATCCAATTGCAGAATCTGCAAGAAAATTCCGTAATTCGTAATGATTATTGATTGAAGTGGAAATTTATTCTGACGAATTGATGGTAATCCTACCGATGAGTCGATAACCAGAAGCGACGGCGCTTCTAACGGCAAGGTCAATGGCTTCTGGTTTGCGTATCTGATAGGTGCCCACTTTAGATAAGGATACGATGTTTTAGTAATTCACGAATGATATTACGGCTTTGCGAGATCACCAAAATCAGAACGTACACCCTAACGACGGAATCTTGACTCCGTTGTTGAGCGTAAATTTTGGAATTGAATTGAGCATCAGAAATAGTGGCAGACCATTGAACCGATGATGACCATGTGTATGCTGTGTTAACACGTGATCCGCTAGATTTTCAAATAATCTCCGGTTACTATAAAAGTTAGAATAAATGAATTGCAACACTAAGTACAGAATGTGAACGTACATATAAATAGTTCTTTGTTCTGTTATTCTTTTACGAAATCAATATCTAATATCCAGGATGGAAGCGGTTACTAAATATTGTAAATACTTTGTCAGCGGAGCGGTGTTCCTTAGTTCCTTCCAATGCAATCTTTTGTATCTCGCAGATTACCCTGAAGGGTCGAGGGAAAGGGTGTGAGAAGCAAACTTTCAACTTTTACTTTAAGTCATGTTCCTCTCAAGTCTCTTGTTATATCGCCTGGTGTTTATATATTTTTTTTTACATAAAAAAAAAAAAAAAGGTAACGAAACCTTCTGAGTACGATATGCCTTATTCTGAAGTTACGTTAACCACAAAGGACAATGTAAAAATACAAATTTTCGTATTGCAACAAGAAAACCATTGGAAAGTGAAAGAGAGACCAACAATGTTGAATTGTCACGTCTGTATTAAGAAATATATAGTTTTTTATTTCTATTATCGCTTTTGATCAATTATTTGTGAATTAAAACAAAATTTTAATTTCATCTTCTCATTTTAGGGTAATGCATGGAATATGTCTTCAATGGAAATTTGCGCAGTTTTGTTTCTCAATGAATTGCGTGAATTCATCTTTCCTTAATAACATACAGATACGGCCTTAATGAAGGTACTCCTTCAGAGAAGAGACTTCGAACAGATGCCCAAGTAAGAATCTGTTGTTTTGCGGTTTGTGAATATGTGATGGGATTAACGTCTAATGAACTTATTCTGTCAACTTTTACCAAAGACGGTGAACTATATCAGTGAACATGAGGTACTAAAACATACAAAATTGGTGATTTATGGACAATTGCTTGGTGGCGCCGTTTTTATCGACCTGGTATCGAGAAACGAAGATAAGGTATTTCTTGCTTAAAAAAAAAAGTTTACAATTTCACGCATCATCCTACTTTTGATTTATTATTCCCCTGTTCTTCATGATCAGCGATAACTGCGATTTGTCGAGCGTCCCTAAACAGAATTTATGGTGATTAAATTTTTGCGTTTCAAAACAACCAAACTATTTATAACGATAATATTGTAAGTACCCAATGGTTTACTTAGTGGGAATTCCTTTTATTACTAAGTTTTGCCCTCTTAACAATAGTTTCCTTTTTTTTTCAAGTGACGGGCAAACGATTCCCCTGTTCTTCATGATCAGCAATACTGCGATTTGTCGAGCGTCCCTAAACAGAATTCATGGTGATTAAATTTTTGCGTTTCAAAACAACCAAACTATTTATAACAATAATATTGTAAGTACCCAATGGTTTATTTAATGGGAATTCCTTTTATTACTAAGTTTCACCCTCTTAACAATAGTTTCCTTTTTCTTTTCAAGTAATGGGCAAACGATTCCCCTGTTCTTCATGATTAGCGATAACTGTGATTTGTCGAGTGTCCCTTAACAGAATTCATGATGATTAAATTTTTGCGTTTCAAAACAACCAAACTATTTATAATGATAATATTGTAAGTACCCAATGGTTTACTTAGTGGGAATTCCTTTTATTACTAAGTTTCACCCTCTTAACAATAGTTTCCTTTTTTTTTCAAGTGACGGGCAAACGATTCCCCTGTTCTTCATGATCAGCGATACTGCGATTTGTCGAGCATCCCTAAACAGAATTCATGGTGATTAAATTTTTGCATTTCAAAACAACCAAACTATTTATAACGATAATATTGTAAGTACCCAATGGTTTACTTAGTGGGAATTCCTTTTATTACTAAGTTTTGCCCTCTTAACAATAGTTTCCTTTTTTTTTCAAGTGACGGGCAAACGATTCCCCTGTTCTTCATGATCAGCAATACTGCGATTTGTCGAGCGTCCCTAAACAGAATTCATGGTGATTAAATTTTTGCGTTTCAAAACAACCAAACTATTTATAACAATAATATTGTAAGTACCCAATGGTTTATTTAATGGGAATTCCTTTTATTACTAAGTTTCACCCTCTTAACAATAGTTTCCTTTTTCTTTTCAAGTAATGGGCAAACGATTCCCCTGTTCTTCATGATTAGCGATAACTGTGATTTGTCGAGTGTCCCTTAACAGAATTCATGATGATTAAATTTTTGCGTTTCAAAACAACCAAACTATTTATAATGATAATATTGTAAGTACCCAATGGTTTACTTAGTGGGAATTCCTTTTATTACTAAGTTTCACCCTCTTAACAATAGTTTCCTTTTTTTTTCAAGTGACGGGCAAACGATTCCCCTGTTCTTCATGATCAGCGATACTGCGATTTGTCGAGCATCCCTAAACAGAATTCATGGTGATTAAATTTTTGCATTTCAAAACAACCAAACTATTTATAACGATAATATTGTAAGTATCCAATGGTTTACTTAGTGGGAATTCCTTTTTATTACTAAGTTTCGCCCTCTTAACAATAGTTTCCTTTTTCTTTTCAAGTGACGGGCAAACGAAAATCTGGTGAGTTTGATGATTCAATAAGCGAAAGCAAGAGTCCACCAGGTTTACCCAGATTTAACGGTTATACGCATGAAATGGAAAAAACTTAAAATTTGGTTAAGGCAAACTTTGAGATGCTAGGATCTACCTTCAGTTGACCCCTCAGATGCAATGGCGGCCGTATGCCTTTCTTTGTATGATAACCTTTGCGAGGTATCCAAGGCTCGTATAGGATGCAAAGCGTTATTTGGAAGATAAAACTTGGTTGGTGATGGTTTCATGCTAGGGTTGGATAGAGGAGAGATATATTATAATAAATATATCCTAGTGAAATATTGATAACACATATTTAATGTTTTTTTTTATTTAGTAGATTTTTAAAATCTCTAATTAACATATCATTCTATTTGTTTATTTATTATAAAACTTAATAAACTTTATTTATTATTATCAATTCAATATGCTACTTAAATTGTGAATATAATTTGATCCCTTGAAATATATAAAATTATAATAACAGATAATTTATCGCTCAAATTGAAGACTAAGGTAAGTATAAAGAATATTTTAAAATAGTTAATATAAAGTAACTAATACTAAAAAAACAATATATATGCCTTCTTTATTTTCGCTCCCAAAATTAGAATCGCAAGTTTACTAAAAAAAAATTATGCCTTCTTTATTTTCGCTCCCAAAATTAGAATCGCAAGTTTACTAAAAAAAAAATTATTCGCCATCAGAAAAACTCAAAACTTCTATTTTTTCACCCGACGAAATGGAATAAGGAATACAATCATCTGTTACTGTGTGTATTTTAAGTTTTTGGCCCCGGTGAGTAGGATGGTTCAATTTTTATGTTGAATAAGAAAAGCTAAAGTAGAAAAATACCGGTAGCATATAGAACAAACCAGTCGTGAATAAAGTTCGGGAGAGATAGAAGAGCAGTTTTGATCGAAGCCAGGAAGTTTTAATTTATCCATATATTGAAGTATATGAATAGGATTGAGGAAATGACCATCCCGATATTTGGTAGCAGGTGGCAAAAATCCATTATTTTCAGCTAATAAAGTGGCCGCTTCTTCAGTTTTCCATTCAGAGCAGCAATTAGAATTCTCGCATTTTCTAATATCCAAGGAATATCGGCATATTTGACAATGTTTTTCTATCCAGCTCCAAGGTATATCCAAAGTTTCGTCAAAAGGATTGATTTTTTGATCAACATATTTAACAAACACTTGTTTTCCATGAATATTATCCTGTTTCCAAATATCACACAGTCTTTCACCAGCATAATAAAAATTCTTATTTGCTAATTCGATATCTTTAACATTGCCGCTGGAATCAATATGAGAACCAAAATGATCAATAGGTAAGACGATACCTACTAACTTTTCTGAAAGAGTGGACATGCTATGTTTTATAGGATTGTATGCAGATTGTCCAGGAGCATGAGTTCGGATAGTAAAATAGTCTAAATTTAATTTTAAGAATAACTTACAATATTCTTTTATATTTTTTAAATATTTAGGATTCTCATCGGGACTACCGTCAATAAGTAAAATTAGAATTGGTTTAAATTCATTCTTCAATTTTAGTGCTTCGCTAAGAATCAGATTTTCTATCATAAATGTTAAATCAGCTATATGAGTTATAGAGGATGTATCAAGTAACCAATGTGAACAAATAAAGATTGATAGTTGTCCATTGCACAATGAATCATTAGAATCTTTTGGATTAATTGTAAAATAAACTAAGAGAATTAATTTTTGTTTGTTTCCTTTAGAAAAATCATGATCGGGTATAATAACTGGTTCGTAAATTGTTTGTATAGTTTTAAATATTTGCCCAACAGCTGAAATACCAAGAGGAATTTTTGCTTTGTCATCTTGTGATATAATTATGGCATAAGAAGCAAAAGAATTAGCAAATTGTTTGACACTTTTGATTGATGTCAAACAATAATGCTCATTAATATGTTCTGGCATTTCATTTCTAGATACTGACTTAACTTGAATAGCTATAGGATGGTGATGTCATTTAGCATTTAAAGAATTAATTCGTCGGAATTACATATATGTGTTTAAACAAGTACATGACATATAAATTCCATATTTCTCTTCCATTTCTTTTTTCAAATATATAATTGTATGTACTTTAATAACTCCTTTTCTTCTTTTTTTAGTTGCACTACCAAATTCAATACATGAGTGTAGCTGTTCAGGAAAATCCGGATTTTGTTGAATAAAAGATAGTCATTTAGGTGAATCATATTTAATAATTTCTCCTTTTTCTTGTAAAGTTTTATTTTTTTTTGCTTGATTTTTTGCTTGTACAATAGCATATCTTTTTAATTTTTTTCTTTTTTTTCTTTATTCTTAATTTCTTTTTTTGTTTTAATAATTTGAGATAAAAAATTATGTTTTTGTTTTGGATCATGTGCAATACTATATAAGGTATTTAATTCAATAAGTTGATTTTTGGCAATTTTTTTGTTGTGCTAAAGATTTTTTTTAAGCTGTTGTATTAAAATATGGTTTTTAATTAATATAATAGATAAATTAGATTTTTTTAATACTATAAGTTGATTTATTTTATAAGATATAAATGGAAAAGATAAGTTAAAGAGATGTTTATAAATAACTATTTATTTTTTGTTTAATAATTTTTTTATTCAAGTTTCTTATAATTTTCTATTTATTTTGTACTTGTAAAAATATATCTTGTGTTTTAAAAAATGAATTATTTGTAATACTGAATTACATGACTCTTCATCGATAATAAATCTCCAATCCTATCTTGTTTGAGATAATGTAATAACAATACTATTAATAAATATATATATTTTGTAATAAAAAGGAATACTCTTGCTAGGTCTAAAAATAGCTTTAAGTATCCAGTCTGCTGGCAACAATATAATCTGTATCAGTTATTACTTATACTTTATATAAAGGAGATACTTCCATACAATAATACAATAACAATACTATATATTAGTTTATCAAAAATAATCTCATTTATATTACAAATAAAATAATAATCATTTTGTTAAAGGTAATCTTATTTATATTACTTTATCAAAAGTAATCTTATTTATATTACTTTATCAAAGGTAACCTCATTTATATTATAAATAAAATATATTTTATTTATTTATTTACATCAAAACAATATTTACAATCTATATTCCAGTTAATTGACTACTATATATATTACTAGAAAACTCTAAATTACTATGTAATATACTTTTAATGAAGCTACTGAGGTATTCCTGTTATTAATTGAAAATATATCACAATATTCAATATGCTTAAGGAAAGGTTTAATAATACTATCGAGACTTGCTAGATCCTATAGCACTATACAAAACAATAACCTTTGTTTTGAATTCTTGCAATAGGAGGAATAGATATTTCATTTGAATAAAGGCTTAATAGTTACAAGTCCATATACTAAAGTCTTCTTGCAAAATATTTATAGAATACTTGCTATTCTTTTTGTTGTCTACTTTTCTTGATAAATTTTTATTTTTATAGTTTTATAGCTATTCATCCTTATTTTCTTCTTTAATAATTTAAGATAATCTTAATAATATTGTATATCAGACTAATCGTACTCCTCTTGCTATATAATATATTAAAGATCTTATATAATATCTAAATCAAGTTAATGTTTAGGATTGTTAAGAGTAAAAACCTATACGATAGTAGAGTTATAGTTTGTAAAAGACATTTTTAACAGAAAATAGAAAGAAAAATAGTGTATTAAGATATAAAAAGCATATCTATATATAATAATATTATTATATATACAATATATAAAAAGATCGTGTTAATAAAATATGTCATGTATATAGGATAAGTAATTAACATGACATGATGTGAATCACTAAATATGTTCTAAAAATAGATATCCTCCTGATCACAAATAATATACATGTTACTAAAAATAGGATATATCAAGATCTAAAAATAAGTATTTCAGATGTACTATGAGGATCTACATGATCAATATGTTTTTATTAATTAAAATTATCAAAAAAAATATTATTTCAAAGTGTGTCAAGGTTGGAAAGTAAAAATCATATATAATAAATATATGTATTATAAAAATTCTTATATAAATTAAAAGAATTTTTGAAAATATATTTTTTATTATACTTTAGAATATTTAAAAATGTTTGTATTTATATGGATTTTTTTTATTTTTTATAATACTGTATATTTAATAAAATATCATTACTTTATTAAAAAACTTTTTTTTTATGAATAAAAAATTATTATATATAATTTTTAAATATCATGTATGGATAGGTAAATATAATATTATATTAAATAAAAATCTACTGATTTTTGTCAAGTTTCTTATTTCTTTTATATAAATATTATATAATATAATCTTGAACTAAACTAATTTAAAAACTATAATAACAACAGTAATTTAATTAAATTCTATAAATCTATATTAAATTTAAATTCAATATTTTGATTCCTATATATTATAAACTTCTTTATTAAAACTTATAAAAGATATCTTAATATTTAAGTAAATATGCTTCTTAAAGGAAAATATTATATAATAGACTTTGAATATAATTTTATGAAATGTTTTGGTTATTTTTTAGATCTTTCTATTAATAATTCTTGCTCAATAATTTTTTCAAGTATTAATGTTTTTTTATTTTAGATAATCAATAAATTCTCATTCAATATCAAGTATTGTTTTTATAATGTTTTTGAAAAATTAGCAAATTCATTATTAAAAAATAAAGTTTTTTCAAACAGTTAATATTTCATTTCAACTTTTTTTCTTTTTTTCTTACAAATGATTAAACAATGCAACTTATATTATATTCAAGTTTTCAAACAAGATATAATACTATAGTTAATAATATCAAATTTAAATATTTAATATAAAACTTTCAATTGATAATATCCTATAGATTATTTATAATATTATTTAATAATATCTTCTATACTTTATTATTTAAGTCAAAATACAAGAAAATTATTTGAAACCTATGAATCAATAGTATAGTAATCAGTATTTCTAGATTTAGATCACAAGATATTAGTTCAACTCCATATAAAGGCAGTTGAGTTGAATTAAAAATGATATTTAATATCATAACCTATTATATATTGTTTCCTATAAAAAACTATTTTTTATATTGATTCAACAGATATTAGAATTGTAATCTCAAAGAAGATGTCATGGTGTAATGATTATTTGATTAGTACTATTATAATTATCATGAAGTCTCTTCATATATAGGTTATATAGG